AGTAGCAACAGTGCCTATTATCAGTTAGGGTATTTAAGGTATTAAGCAGATGTCAGTGGGACGTGGTTGTGATAATTTAGCTTCCACCCATCTCTTCCTAGGTATTGCAGGCAGCATAAGAATTACAACCTTGTAGGAATTTCCTTACTTTTCTGTAAGTTGGAGAGTTTGTTATGTAGACTTCTTTAATTCAGTATATTCAAATTTTCTAGGAATACAGAAAATTGTTTTTGTGTGTGTGCGCTCACACATGTGCAAGAAGGAGGATATGAAATGCAAAAGCTAACAATCTAAAATTAAGGTTGAGAAATCAGGCACTCAAAAGTCAAGAAATTCAAAAAGCTAAGTTTTCTATTACCATATTATATATATATATATCTTTACTCCTGCGGGAGTTCTGCATGACTGCATGCATGCATAATTAATGAGCCCCGAGGATTTTTATTTTTTTGAGCAGAAAAAGCTTCTGCTGAAATGTTGCTGCAGTTTTGCCTTTTGCCCACCAGAGGGCACTGTGGCAATAGCACAAAGCAGCAGCTCACAGCCAGCTAAAGAAGAGAAAGCCTGCCTTCTTCACAGCGCCTGTCAAGCAAGGTCAGGAGATGGAGGCTATGAGGAGACAGCAGGGGAGCAGGGAGGGATTGTTAGGGAGCTCCCCACATGCAGACCTTGGCTGACCCCTAGCCTCTCCTATGCAGTCAGGCACATCTGCCCCGTCTCCATGTGTTCCTGCACCCATATGTGTCCTTGCACCACCTGTCCACGTGTCCCTCCACCCCCAATCAGACACCCACTCCCGCATCCCCATGTGGCCCTGGGATGTTGGGGTGTGTGTGTTAGACAAGGGCTTATAAGGGCTAGTGGGGGAGGACAGATTGGGGCAGGGGCTGAATGGGAGTAGAGGCACAAGGCCACAGGAGGGGGAGGGAGGAAGGTGCAGGGCCACATGGTGATGTGTGTGTGTGTGCAGAGCTACATAGGGACTGGGGTGGCTGGGTGGGGGTACAAAGGACACATGGGGAACAGGGGGGAGGGGATACAGGGACAGTATAATGACAGGGAAGTGGCTAGGTGGGGACACAGAGACACATGGG